CTCTTGCGAAGTGGCTCAACTGCAAGGAAATTTTCCAATTCCAGTTTTTGCTTTAAACAAAAAATATCTGTTCTATTAATAAATTCCTTCAAAGAACAACACCCTATATTATTTAGTAAGTTGACTAACTGCAATTTACACCCTGGTTTTCCAGCCATCAAATTTTTCCGTTGCTTGGACCAGTGCTGCTGCCGATTCGAGAGGACCAATTTCTCTAGTTTTTAATAAAAATCTCCAGTCTTAAAATTTAAAACTTGAGTGTGGATCAATAGTGCACACCGAAAGATTCATTTAGCTGAAATTAATTGTTTTAGGGCTCAGCAAAAGATATCTGGACCGAAGTAGGACATTTGAAACAGATGCCGATCAACAGGAATCGAACTGCCCGACAAGCCGGATATGGCGGCGGTGATATCGGTGTAAATGCTGGTGGCGGTGAAGCGCAAGGTGGCTGCGAAGGTTGCTGCTTGCCTGGACCACCAGGCGCAAAAGGCCCACCTGGCAGACCTGGAAAACCAGGAAGGTAAGTAGAAGTGATCTTCGAAGTTCGGAATATGTGTTTTATGGAGTGATTCTGTGAGCCAGTGTAAAATGCACATAAAACATTTAGCTCGGAGATTTTTCAGACCTGGAGCACCGGGATTGCCAGGAAATCCAGGACGGCCGCCAGGCCAACCATGCGAACCTGTCACTCCACCACCGTGTCAGCCATGTCCGCCTGGACCTCCTGGACCACCTGGTCCGCCAGGACCACCGGGAGATGCTGGGCCAGATGGTGCCCCAGGATATGGTGGCGGAGCTGGAGCGCCTGGACCAGCAGGGCCGAAGGGACCGCCCGGACCACCCGGAGAACCAGGACCTCAGGGACCACCCGGAGCACCAGGAGAAGGCGCGCCAAGCGGAGGTGTTACTCCGGGTGAACCAGGACCTCCAGGTAAATTTCACTCTATTCTTTCAGTACTTATTGCATGAATTTTGTTTTAAAAGATCTTTTCGATTTTTCAAATAACGCGCATTTTAGGTGATATGGGACCACCAGGACCGCCTGGAGCACCTGGACAACCTGGTGCTGATGGACCACCGGGACCACCAGGCCCGAAGGGGCCGCCTGGACCAGCAGGAGAGCCTGGCGCAGCTGGACAACCAGGAGCACCGGGACAACCTGGTGCACCGGGTGCACCTGGCGAGAAAGGTATCTGCCCGAAATACTGCGCCATCGATGGTGGTGTTTTCTTCGAAGATGGAACACGGCGGTAAACATGGGTGTTCAATCGCTGGAAGCAGAAGAATCCAAAAAGAATTTCCATTCTGCCTTACCATTGTTATTATAATTTTAATAGTACTGCCTTCTGGATCGCTGCTGCAAATAAATTTTGCACCACTAAAATGATATGTTCCATTTATTGGACAATGTAGAAAGCAACTGGTTTGGGTTGAAATGACTGATAATTCGTAATATTTTTCTATGGGGCTAGTAACTT